GATGAGCAGGAATGGGGAGTCCTCCACTTTCCTGACCATTCACTCTCTGGCCAGTGGACCCAAAGTATTCAGAGTGGGGCTTTCCCTGCCCCCGCCCTGGCAACGGGACCCTCTGCAGAGCAGCTGCCTCACCACCTGGAACCAGGAACAGACTCAGCATGCCCAGGGCTCATAGAGCCAGTGCGGAAGGGGAGGGTTCAAAGCCCATCCTTCCAGGCCCCGCCCAGATGCCACCTCCTCCACGAAGCCTCCCTTGATCTTCCCAGATGGAAGTGACTGCTTCCTTCTCTGAGTGCCCCTGGCCACTCCCCTCCTCTCCCCTCTCAAAAGTGATGGGACCCCAGCTCCCCCGAGCCCGGCACAGTGTTGGAGGCCAGAGCATTTCTGTTGACTCATTTGGCCAGTCAATCCTGGAAGCACTTACACTGGGCATTAGAACCCTTGGAATTCCTTTTTGTCACTGGTTCAGTAATCCAGTGTACCTGCTATGTGCCTGATCTACGTCAGGTGCTACGGAGACCAGACAAGGGATACAGCAGACCCAGCCTGAGGGCAGGATTCATGGAAGAGAGGACACTATGCCCAGTACTCAAGCATGAGGTGGAGTCTGCCAGAGGACAGGGCAGGGAGAGGCAGAGAGAGCCTTCCAGACTAATGACCCAACCCACGTGGGCTAAGGCAGGAGGTCACACAAAGTCAGGGTATGTTCCTAGTTGTATGGAAAGAGGAAACCATCAGAGGGCTCTAAGTTCCCTGAATGGATGACCAGTCAACACACAGGAAGAGCGAAATCCATCCCCTTAACTGGGCCCCTCGTTCTCGTCTATACAGGAGCTCAGAACAGCCACAGAGGAGGTGGGTAAGGTGTACAAGGCAGTGGAGGACCACGAAGGGCCTGATGATAAAGTCTGCAGATTCCCCAGGCAATAAATCTTCCCTTCTGGGCCCCAAACGTGCGCTAACCAGCGGCTAGTAAACTCTGTTCCCTGGAAATCATTCCAGAGGGGAGGCCGCTGGGACAAGAAGCATCAGGGTAGCAGAGACAGGCTAGAATCAGGAGAACAGGGCTGATGACGCCTCAGTGGGGGTCACTCCCCCTGGGAAGGTTTGGGGTGGGGAGGAAGGAAGAGGCTGGAGGAAGCGGCAGGAAGGTAAAGGCAGTTGCTGAGAGAAACAAGCTAAAAGCAGAAAGGGCAAGCGGCCCAGCCTGCTCAGCTGCTGTCTACCCTCTGGCCTTCTAGGATTTCTCTCTGGCACGCCTCGCCCGACTGCCAGCACCTCAGCAGTTCTGCTTCAGTCTTACCGTATATTTGGGAGTTGCAGGAAGCATTTAAAAACTGGGTCAAAGTTTGCTGACTTTGGGCCTAAGCCACTCATGACTGCCCCCCCTCCCCTTGCCAGGTATTCATGTGACCCAACTGTAGCCAGTGAGATGTGAGGGGGGCTCCACTGGGGGGTTTCTACGGAATGTTTCACTTGCTCTTAAGAAAAGAGAGAAGCATGAAGAGGAGATGGCTGCCTCATCTCTTGCTGCACTTTGTCCTGTTGGGAGGTGGTAACCAGATCTGCCGCAGCCATCTTGGGACCATCAGGGGAGTCCCCAACACTAAGGGTGGCAGAGGAGTCCTCCCGCCACAGAGCTGCTGAATCAGCAAGCCCCGGAGCCCCTTCACCTCAGGATTTCTTATCACGGAAGATAATAGATCTTCATTATTGCAGCTATCTGAATGCGGGGAGGGGCTGGCAACTGACTCTCAGCCAAAGTCACATCAAACACAAGGACCCCGGGGCTGCCACTGTGTGATGGGTTTGTACATCTTGTGTAACGTGAAGCCACTTGATGGGCAGCCAGGTGAGCAGAGAGAGACCCGAAGCTCTCAGTCATACAACACAAGAGACAGGAAATAACAGGTTTTCCAAGAAGAGGCCTGTCGTGGGCCTGTTTTCTAGAGAAAGTCCAGTCAAAGGTGCCTCCCATAGTTTCCTGGGTGGCAGGTCCCTTACCGTTCTTCTGAGCCAGGGCCTGGTCGATGAAGTCTGCCGCCTTTTCAAAGTAGGCGCTGAGGTTGAACTCCTGTGTGTCGTTGGCCTTGATGCCCAGGTAGGTGATGCCAGAGTCCTTGTAGAAGTTGGCACTGGTATTGACATGCATGAAGGACCTGCCCTCAGCCGCATTCAGGACATGGGTGATGCCCAGTTTCTGCAGCTTGGGGATGTCTTGAGCCACAGACCTGGACAGGAGACAGCAGCAGGGGCGTGATCAACTGACCACCTGGCAGCCCTCGGGGGAGAAAGACGGAGAAGATCCTAAGCCTCTTGGCCCAGCAAGGACCCTCCATGCTCTGGCCCCTGACTACTCCTGCAGCCCCAGCTTATGACCCTCTGCCCTCACTCCAGCCAGATCTAATTACCTGCCCCAAACAGCCTGGGCACTTTCATGCCCATGCTGTTCCCTCTGCCTGGAATGCCCTTCTCCACCATCTTCATGGAAATGTACCCTCTCATTTCTCACCACCCTTGGCAGTATTTCCTGATCTCCCCTCCATTCAGCATTATGCTCCCTATACTGTGGTGGTGGTATCACCACGGAGCTAAAAATGGTCTCTGGAGCCAGACTGCCCGGGTCTGATTCCAGCCCTGCCACTTACCAGCCAGACAACCTTGAACAAGCCACTAAACCTTTCTGTGCCTCAGTTTCCCTATCTGTAAAATGGGGTTGATAACAGTATCTACCCCTGGGGCTGATTTGAGTGTCAAATGAGCTGTTCTATAGACAGAACCTGACACCGGGGTCACTGCCACTATCCTAATGCTTGATTGTGCTTATTTGTTTAGATGTCCAGGCCGTGAGCTCCTTGAGGGAGGAACCATGCCTACTTCATGTCTGTATGCTCAGCACGTGCTATGGAACCTGGCACACAGTAGGTGCTGAATATGTGGTGAATCAGTGAAGAATGAAATCAGCACATCCCAGGCAGCCTTCTTCCTTGGATTCTAAAGTGCAGCAGCCCCCTCCCATCCCCCAGAGGGATCCTTTCTGCCATAGTCCACTAGCCACATCTCTGAAGCTCTCTTGGGTGGGTAAGCACTTGGGGAGCAAGTGGCCTCAACAGAACTCTGGGGGTTACAAAACATTCGATCTGAATAGTCAAAGGGCTCCTTTATTTCATCTCATAACAACGTCCCAATTCAAACAGCAGTTTATACTTTACAGAACGCCTTCTCCTGCATGATCTTGTTTGCCTGTCACAGCAGCCCGGGGAGGAAGGACAGAGCTTAAGCTCTGGCCGGACATGACAGCGGAAGGATGTGCATATGCTCACATGGGCTGCTGCGCAGCAGGGCTGGGAGAAGGTCTCCTTTCTCCTGACGCCAGCCCTGCTATCTTCCTCCTCACCCTGCCTCTCATGCCCATATCAACTGCAAATCTCAAGAGGCAGAAAATGTGGCTCATCCAGGCTCCCCTCTGCCCTGTGAGCCCTGATCAGGAGCCCTGATTTTCTTAAAGCGCTACCAACTGCGGAGAAGGGAGAGGATCGGTACTCAGTCCATCCTCCCTGCTGAGCGCCCCCCACACCCCTGGCTATGTCAAGGGCAGATTTACTTGAGGGCAGATTTACTTGTTCACAACCTTAGTTTTCACTTGGGAAGTGGTGACAGCCCAATGTGCCAAGCCGCCCAAGAGAGCAGGTTTCCGAGAAGGCCAAGGCCACTTGCTGCTTGGGTGGCTGGAGAGGGGCTTATCCTCAGAACTTGGCAATTACCGAGGCCTTTGGCTGAGATTCTAGGACCCTGTTTTAGCTATCACGACACTGCACACAATTGTAAAGCAGTGGCTCATTAAAAAGGCACTAAAATAACTAACTTTGAAGAGTCACTACCATTCATCTTCCTTCTCTAAGTCAACATTCAACAACTTTACCATTATCATTGTCATCAATACTGTGAATACTTGCTCAACATCTGTCACATAGTGATGCTCCAAGTGGTGAATGAGTAATGGATAGATGAGACAAGCCCCCACGAGGCCCAGCCTGCCTTCCAGACCCCCTAGCTCCGTGATGGCCCCCATTTCTGTGGCAGTCCTTGGCAGACTAAGCATCAGGTCCTAGGCCAGGACCTGGGATACAGACATAAACAAGACATTGACCCTATCTTCACAATCCCTAAAGTGCTCTGGGCCATCAATTCTTCCTGTGTAAAAGGAGAGAACCGGATTAGACATGCAGTCCCTGGGCCCATGGAGCTTAGGGCCTTGGTAACTGGGTCTCAGAAAATCCAACCTATACCCTCCCAAGGCTGTACAGGCATGGGAATCTATTTTTTTTTTGCTTTTGGCTGGTATTTCAGCACCTCTCTGAACGGTTAACACTGGTTTTCTCCTGCTGCTTAGAAATTCTTACTGGTAGTTTGACTATGAGAAAATCAATTTGGTAAGAACTCCTCAGTGATAAATAATAAATGCATTTCCTGGTGGTGAGAAGGTCGGCAGCCTTTTCTAAGTGATGGCTCAGGTCCTTAGGGGGGGGTTATCACTGGATCGTTCTAGAATTCTAGATAAATCAAACCCTAACTGGAAGGCAGGGGGAGGAGCGAGGAAGCCCGGGCCCATGTCTCTGGACCCCTAGTTTGCGATATTTCAATTCCCACATCTGGGCCTGCCCGGCCGGGAAAGTTCCACGCCCGAATTGTGACGTCATCTCGTTGCCATGGCAGCGAAGGCAGACATTCCGCGGTGACCTCACTGCAGAACCAGGCAGCTGTCACATGACGAGCGGGCCGGAGACCGGCCGGGGGACAGAGGGCCACCTGTTCAGTGATCCTGGTAGCCCCGACACCGCCCAAGGCCGAGCCCCTAGAGGGTTGTGGCTTCGGGCCTGACGCTGGGCTGCCCGAGCTGCGCCCGGGTCTCCGCCACCCAGCGAAGGGAAGAACAGAGCTGGGGCGGGGCGGGGTTCAGCCCCTCCGCCCTAAGCGCGAGGGTGGGCGGTGACTCCAGCCCCCGCCCAGCCCCCGCCCAGCCCCCGCCTTGGCTTCCGGAGGAACGACCCCGCCCTGGCTCCCCCCACCCGCGCCCGCCGACGCCCCCACCCCCAGCCCTCGGGTGGGCGGGGCACCCCGGGGAGGGGCCGTTGGGGTGTCTCGGGGCCCGGGAGCGGCGACTCACGCGTTGCCCACGTAGATCCTGGGGGTGACCTCGTTGCAGGGCTGGCTCGGGAGGCTGTAGCAGCCGCTGCCGTCCGACAGCAGGTCGTTCAGATCCTGCACCGAGAGCTCAAACGGGCCCGACATGGCGGCGGCCGGGCCCTGCACGCCCGGGAAGCAGCAAGCTAAGGGAGAGCGGCCGGGTCAGCTGGGCGGGGGCTCCGGAGCCGGGACCCGCCCCGTCCCGCCCCGGAGGCGGGGCCCCCGGGCACTGGAAGCGGCGGAGCGCCGGCGGCCAGGCGCGCTCCGCTGCCGGGAAGTATGCGCGCCGCCAGGCGCCAGGCGGACGCGGGGGCCGACTTCTGGGCCTGAGTTAGGAGGCAGAGACGCCGCTACTCCGGAGTTTTGGGGGGTCCTCTTCCCACCCCCCGTTAAGGCATGGAAGTGCAGTAACTTCACTGGACTAAATGCAGGGCGCAATAAAAGTTTCTCTTGACCGGGGTACACCCTAGTGTCGCTGAATTTTCTCAGGATTACAGGGACACCCGGGTTCCGTTTGTGAGCTCTGCCTACTGCGGACCAGCAACGTTGGCATCACCAGGGAGCTGGTCAGAAATGCAGAATCTCCGCCCCAGCTCAGACCTGCTGAGTGAGAATGTGCCTTTTATACGCCCCGCTGGGGATCCCTACGAAGGTTAAAGTTTGAGAAGCCCAGCTCGGGGGCACATTTCTTCCAGCCTTCAGTGAGAGTTGGCATCGTGCTTAAAGCTTGGGCTCTATGCAAGCAAGCATGGCATTCTGGCCCTGGGCAATGACTTAACCTCTCTGAGCCCGTTTACTGAAAAAAAAAAAATGAGGGTAATAAGAGCACCTAACTCTTAGGGTTGTTTGAAAGATTAACATGCCAGGAAAGCGCCCAGCTCTACATAGTGAGCACTGGATAGGCGTTCTCCCTCTCTCGATCAGCAAACGTGTAGCGCACCCACTAGGTGCTACACCCTGTGCTAGTGTGGACATGAATCCCGCTCCTTTGCAGCCCTTCCTGGAGCAGCTGCCAGCCCACTGTGAGCCACACGATGTCAGCAACTCATCATTTACTGAGGTCCAACCGTCAGCAAAAGACCGTCTCTGTTCTCCACTGCCATGAAAATGGCAGCTGCCACCTCTCCAAAGAGCACCTGTGGTCCTGGGAATTCAGGAAACCCACATCCTGAGCCCAGTTCTGCCACTAACTTGTTCGTTCTACAGCAGTTTGGCTGTTGCTCTGGACTTCAGTTTCCTCATCTGCAAAATGAAGAAATTGGATCAAATTATCATTAAGTTCTTTTACTTCTGCAAACAGCTGTAGTCTCACACCTTCAGGGAAACCATTGCAGTGGAGACCAAACTTGTAGCCCAAGGTGTGTAACCAAGGCTGGATTCCTCCTCATCCCACCCCGTGCCCTCCCGCCCCTCCCAGACACCACACTTTTTCCTGCTGCTGTTGGTGGCACCTGCATTCCAGGCAGCTGGGAAAGCTTCTGAGCCTCTGCCCTCATCTTGACTGGGTTAGCTCTCAAAAGAGAAGCCCAGGGACGGCCAGGCATGCTCTGGGGCTCCTCCTCCTTCCGGGGGACCTGCCCCTGATGTCATAACTGGGTAACTGACAACCCATCATGGGGACAGCTAAGTACCTCACAGAGGAGCCTGGGTGCCTCATTTCTGAAGTGAGACTAGGAAGAGAAGATGAACAATTCCCTGGATTATCTAGCCTACCCTGTAATCGTCTCTAATCATAGACAGAGCACATCATTCAGGAGGAAACTGGACTTTTGCCACTACGTATTTCATAAGAATAGAATACAAATAGGTACGTGGGGCAATTTGAACTGTACACTGCGATTAGGGTTCTGGAAGGGCCCACCTTAGAGATATTGACAGTAGACCAGACCAGTACATGGCTTTGCAAATTTGTCTTCCACCAGGGAGTTCATTTGATGGATATGCTCATTTAAACTCTTTAAAGCCAAAGTAAGGTAGACAGAGGATAGGACTTCAGCATCCAGTAGCCAGGCTAGTCGTACTGGGAAAGGGTGGGAGAGAGGTTTCTTTCATTAGAGTCAAAGGATATTTATGTCTGTAAATTTTACTTTTCACAGCCCTCATTTTCTCATGTCTGCTCAAAACTCTCCAAAAGATGTCAGTTTGGGAAACTCAACTAGACCAAAATTCCTGAACTGGATTAGTTCAGAATTCAAACTTGTAATGTTTTAATCGGGGCCGTTGTCTAGAATGTGAGCAGATTTTCTAAGGCTACTAAGAGGATACCTGTGATGTAACATTGCTCTCTTTCCCCCCTCTCTAGTGAAGCCTACTGTTGATACCAAGCCTCCAGTGGTGCACACACATCACATTTTAAAACTGAGCAAACTACAGGTATTTGTTCCTGCCATTATTGATTTTATCTATGTCCTAAAGAGGGCCAGTTTCCCAGAGCCTTCTAAACACCCACCTCACCAAAGATTCGTTCACCCTTCTCCTCCCCATACACACCACCCCTGGATTCCTCAGCTTCTCTCCCAGTCTCCACTGTGGCCCCCAATATGCCCCTTTCGCACAATCCCAGAGGAGGGGGATGCTCAGCGATTGTGGGATGGAGCGCCATGTAGCAATGACGTCACCATGATGGGGTGGGGTTTCTCACCAGGGTGAACAAAAGAAATTCGACAAAATCGAACATGAAAACAAGCAACTGTGTCAGAAAATTGCCAACGCCCACCGAGGCCCCGCCAAGGTGGATTGCTGGAACGAATATTTCTCTAAGAGGTAGTGTTCTTTCTCTTCATTTCAGTTTCCAAAAGTCAAAATTGACTTCACCCTTGTTGGGTTTTAGTGCCAGAGGAATAATTAAGGGAAGTTATCTTGAGGGATAACCAAAGAGACCAAGTTAAGGAGAAAGAAAACCACCCCAAACAGGGACCTTTCTCTAGCGTTAAAGAGCTTTTTTTCCCTCTGAGAGACTCTTCAGGGTCCTATTCAGAGTTTGTCACAAGAAAGCACTTTTGTAAAATGGTGACCATAGCTGGGACTACAGCACTCTTAAAATTGTTTCCGCAAATATTTCCTGAACTACCATGGGCTAAGCACCAGGACTATAGAGGTGAAATGAGAAGTATATTTCCTAATTTCAAAGAACTCAGTGTCAGGTAAGGGGGACATTTGTGTAAATAGTTATGCAGTGTGATCAGGGCTCCAAAGGAGTGTATGCAGGGAAAGAAGAGTGGTGTGTGTGTGTGTGTGTGTGTGTGTGTGTGTGTGTGTGTGTGTGTGCCCGGGTGGTGGGGAGTGTCAAGAAGTCTTTCCTAATCCTTGTATTCTGAAATTGAGTTGAAAGCTGAGGGGAGTGAGGTGAACCAAAACTTGTCATCAGCCATTTGTGATTTATCTGTAGGCAAGACCTTCATCCTCTAAACCAGAGATTCTCAATCCTGGTTTCACATAATAATGCCTGGGAAGCTTTTGCAAAATGCCAATGCCCAAGCTCCATCCCAGATCAATAAAGTAGAATTTTCTAGTAGGCAGCGGGGCTGAGAACCACTGATCTTAATCTGAAAAGGCTTTGCACGTTTCCCAGAGTGTGGTCTGGTTCAACAGGCGTCCAGGGCCTCAGGGCTCTGCGGGACAGCTGGTTCCCTGCACTTTGGCGGCCTGGATTTATGACATCATGACTTCATCTCCCCCGCTCCCATCCAGGAGGAGAACTTTATTCTTCACGCATCTTGGGATTTTGTATTTTTCAGCTTAAACAGAGAAACAAGGAACCGGGAGCTAGTGAGAATCACCATGGAAAACCAGGGCATTCTGAAGAGGCTTGGTGATCGCAAACCCCACTATGATCGCAGGTCGTTGGAGTTAGACTGGCAGGCACGTGGGTACTCTGTGATATTCCTATGCACGCACAGAGTTTGCGTTCAGAATAGAGCCAATCTCAGGAGAGACCCCTAAGCGGCTGAGGGTGAAATCATGAGAAATGCAACAATCGTTGAAAGAAAAACTACCCAGAGCCTACAAAGCTATAACAACAGGAGCAAACCATCCACCAGCTTGGTAGCGAAGCCATTATGTGTCAGCTTCAGAGAATATCTGGTAGCATCTTCCCGCATCCCTTAATTCATTCAGGCTGAATGGGCAAGCAAAGGGGATGAGGGTATACAATTCAGTATGTGGTTGACTTGCTTCATTTAGGAATGGCTCTTCAAGAAGGAAAAAAAAAAAAAAGCCATCTGCAGTGCTTTTATAAACTTCCACTCCCTGGCTTTGGTCTGGAAGCCTTTTCTAAGCCACCTGTAGGGTTTAGGACTTCATCTTTCGCATCAGCACCCTGGCATTGACATAAATCTTTCTGATTCTTTTCCTTCAAGAATTCAAGGCGCTATATCAGAAATACAACCAAATATCTTCTCTCCTGAGATGAATAGGTATGTCTTCACGCGGCTGCTCTTTATTAGAGAACACGGTGATCACAGTTGATGCCAAAGTCCTAAAAACCATGTAGATGGAGAACGAGGGGCCCAACTAAGGGGTGGATTTTGCTCTTCTGTAATATTGATTGGCCGTCCAGTCAGGGACTAGAGCTCTGTCTTTGTTTCCTCTCAGCATACAAGTAGGAAATGACTGCCTTTTGTCATCAGCTTTGAGGCTTTACGTGAGTCTAAGGGGAAGTGATTTGTTTCAATAAGACGTAAACAGAAGGTCTTGTGGCTTTAATATTATGCTAAATTTATATTACAGATCTCCGTCACTGTTCAAAAGTAATATTGTGTTGCCATTTTGTATTATTTCATATTATTAGTAATGATTAAGTTTCCCCACTTTGCCACTGCCCCTGGCGAGAAGGATAAATGGACACTCAAGCTTTCCAAAGAACAGTTCTGTATAACTGATGGCTCTCCATTTCTCTCCCTGTCCTCTCCCTGAATACAAGGTTACTCACCATGGAAAAGACAAGAGAAGGCCCTAGGATTTCTTAGCTGCTTAGGATTTCAAGACACTCCTAAGTGGCTGAATGCTCGGTCTTAAGATGCTACAATAAAGCTTGGAACATAAAATGAGTAAGTTACTTTTAAAGTACCCAAAGGCTTTAAGTCCCATCCCCAAATGGAGACAGAATGGGGCAGGCAGAAGGAAAGATGCAACAAGCATTTTTATGGGGGGCTATGAAAAGTTTTAATGAGAGAGAGAAAGAGACAACTTTTTAAAACATACACCATCACCACCACCCCGGGGGAAAGAATAGGTGGGGTGTGATGATCCAGCCACAAGTTCAGCTCTTTCAAAATGGAAAACAAAAGCATATGAACACATGACAAGACAGTGCTGCATGTCTTCTGTAATTGGTCTAATTATTTTGAAAGAGAGTAGATCTTATATGTTCTTATCACAAATAAATAAATGTTTTATTTTAAAATAATTAGATTTACATGAAGGTGCAAATAAATGTACAGTGGGGCCTCCTGCACCCTTCGCCCAGCCTCCCCCAATGTTAACATCTTGTGTAAATACAGTACAGTTCAATCTAGGAAGTTGACATTGCTACAATCTATAGAGCATATATAAATTCACAATTATACATGCACTCATTTGTATGTAGGTGTATAGCTAGTTTTATGTAACTAGCATGTCTAGTTTTGTATAAGTACAACCACATTTGAGGCAGTTAACTGTACCATTATGGAAATACTCTACTGTACTACCCCTTTTGGCCACAGCCTCCCTCTTCCTCCAGCCCTAACCCCTGGCAATCACTAATCTGTTTTCCATCTCTGTAATTATGCTGTTTCATGAGTGTTACATAAATGGGGTCATGCAGTATGTATCCATTCTTTTCAGATTGGCTTTTTTCACTCCATATAATTTCCTTGAGGTTCATCCAGGTTGTGTATACCAATAATTCATTCCTTTTTATTGCTGAGTAGTATTCCATGGTAGGAATGTACCACAGTTTATGAATGTGCCATTCACCTACTGCAGAACATTTGGGTAGTTTCTAGTTTTTTGACCATTTTGAATAAAGCTGCTGTGAACTTTTGTGCACAGGTTTCTGCATGAAAATAAGTTTGATTTCTCTGGGATAAATGCCCAAGAGTGTATTGGTGGGGTTGTATGATAAGTCCATTTTAAAAGAAACTGTAGGGCTTCCCTGGTGGCGCAGTGGTTGAGAGTCCGCCTGCCGATGCAGGGGACACGGGTTCGTGCCCCGGTCCGGGAAGATCCCACATGCTGCGGAGCGGCTGGGCCCGTGAGCCATGGCCACTGAGCCTGCGCGTCCGGAGCCTGTGCTCCGCAACGGGAGAGGCCACAACAGTGAGAGGCCCGCGTACCACAAAACAAAACAAAACAAAAAAAGAAACTGTAAAGCTATTTCCAGAGTGGCTGTACCATTTACATTCCCACCAGCAATGGATGAGTGAGCCAGTTTTTCCACATCCTCAGCAACATTTGATGTCACCACCATTTTTAATTTTAGGCATTATAACATGTATGCAGTAGAGAAACTTGCATTTCTCTAATTAATGAAGTTGAACATCTGTCATATGCTTACTTGCTATCTGTATATCCTCTTTGGTAAAATATTGGTGCATTTGCCCATTTTCTAATTGGATTTT